AACTGATGAGTTTGGTAGAACTTAGAAAAATATTTATTAAGTAGTTGAAGTGAAGGAAGGAGTGACTTGCTGTGCTGCGAGTTCCTGCCGCGTGTGGGACTGGGAACAGCTGAGTGACAGCTGATCCATGATACGCACAACTTTACGCAGCAAATATTGCGTCTTGTGCAGCAGAGGAATCATCACAGCTGACCTGTCTGTATTAATATTATGAAGTTGTCAACTCATAATATTAATTCAGACAGGTCAGCTGTGATGATGAAGACTGYTAGATAATTAGTTATTAGCGGGACTGCATTTTAATTTWAAAAAGCTCAAATCRGCTTATGAATTATAAAAATTAGCAAGACCGCTAAAGCGCAAATGAAATATTTAGGTCCACAATTAGCGGATTAGCGCTTTAGCGGACTGGTGCCCACCACTGGTTTTCTGAAATGTAATTTTGTTTCAGAACATGTAAAAGTGTTTCAGATTTTGTAATGTTGGTTTGCACCTCCAGGCCACCGTACCATCAGATCCAGTATCGGTACTGGGCTCAGATACCAACATAATTAATTGATGGGAATTTTCTGGTCCAWCGTGGGAAGATTCCAGGTCCATGAGTTGTGTCTGTGCTTTAATGGTGTCTGCTGAAATGACTCCAGAAGTGATTCTTGGCCAGCTGCAAACTGTGGAATGGATTTCCTGAACGGAGGTGAGTCTCAGTTAGACACAGTAATGAAACACTCCTCTATTCAGGAAATGTATTCCACAGTTTGCAACCAGCTAGCAGATGGGCAGCTCTGTGGCTAACCCAACTTTTAATCACAACATGACTCCATTTAAAAGTGGAGACTTCAAACTATACACTAGTTTTTAAATAGTGCTGATAGGTCAAGTAAAACCAGAGTTACGATAAAGAATATTAACACGTTTTTTTTCTAAAAGAAAATGATTTGTCATTTTAAAACATGTAGCTGCTGCAGCACAAGGCAACAGGAACCACGGGGACACTCATGGAGAAAACCCTCCAGCTCTCCATCAGCCTTCACTTGAGTCAAACAAAATCATAACTTCACCTCCTTTCTCACTGACGCACAAAGTGCTTTTGTGAAGCGCACAAAGTTCTGCAGCAGGAGGTGGAGAAGGACACAAAAGATGAATGAAGTTTGGAGGTGACGGAGAGCAGAGTGAGTAAGGAGATTTCAGAGTTTTGTAATATTTTTAACCTATTTTAATTTTATTATTATTTTTGTTAAATAATTTTATAATTAAGGTGCAGTTTACGGTCAGTTTAAGATTGATTGAGTCAAAACAATGAGGCGATTTTTGAAGGTGAAACTACAGCTTCTGTTTGAGGAGGAGGATGAAGGTTTGCTAAATTTGTTCACATTTATGAATATTACTGTTTTTATACAAGTTGGAATACAAATATGATCAACAGTATTGATAACAATAATAATGAAATAAATAATAATGGTAAGTATGAGGATGGCATTATTATTGTTATTATTATTGTTGTTGTTGTTGTTGTTGTTGTTATTATTATTAAAGAGATTTGATATGGGAATAGCATTGTTATGGGTCAATGTCCAAAACTCAGGCATCGGATTGGAAGTGGAAAAAATGTGGACCGGAGCATACATTTTTTTCCCGCTCTCGGAGGATTATGATGCTTTTTCCTTCTCTCCTGCCCTTCTTTATCTTCCCTGCTTTGCTGCTTGYAGCCTTCTCTACATTTTTCATCTGAAACCAGAAATTATGGATATTTTTATTTTTATGGATTTGGTTAGCTGGTCTCTCAATAAAACTTTTGGAACAAAGTTTATTTTTCTTCTTCCACGGGAGGACATGCCAAAGGTGGGACCTCTGTTCTTCTCTGTTCTGGATATACAGTATATCTGGACTCTGATCACTGGAGTCTACAGATTGGGTTGGTGGTCTCCTGGTGTTCTACAAAACAGTGTCAGTGGCTTTTCATCTCCTGGCTGACTGACCAATTTGATGGGTGGCTGTATTCTATCAGAACTCGGACATTTTGCCTTGAGCGAGCTGGACTCGGTCTGCAAGCGGTTRTATTGAGGGTCGRGGGCCGGCTGTGGTCCCTGGYCTTTGCTGGCCAGATGGAATTSATCTTGGAGAAGCTGATAGATTCGGCTCGGTGGAATTTGTCCACATTGTTTGTCTGATTGGATTTGACACCTTGAGATGCACCAGCAGAAACTCTGAAGCTGATGGAAAATTGTTGTCGTCTGCCTGTCTCTTCTGTTCCCAAAACAACTGATTACAGAATCTGGATCTCCCCGACAACGGCCTTGATCTGTTGACTAAATTCTTCCTGGCTGGAACACGTTGACAAGGCTCTGCCCCCTCCTCTCACACCCGTCTGATCTGATTTCATGAGGAAGCTGAGGGCCACACAGAATGAACAGTTTACCATCAATATTTCTGAACTTTGGCTGCGTCGGCTTGGGGGACTGGATTCTTCAGGCCCCCCTAAACTCACTCACTCRTCTGGCTAATAAATCTATCCTATGCAGAGGTTCTTTTCATAAACACCACAGTGTGTCACAGTGTTGATATAATATGATGTTTAGTTTTTTTCCTCATTTTCCCTTTCCTTGTGTGGTTTTTCTGTTTCCAGGATGGCGCCACGGCAGGCAGCCTGTTACTGCATCTCCACTGTTTTGAGCTGCTGTAATGTTCAAATTTCCCCACTGTGAGATCAATAAAGTTTTACCTTATCTTATCTTWTCATATCTTATCTTATCTTCTTATCTTATTATACCCAATGAAATCCCAAAACCAGGATGAAGGCCACACTGCTCCTCCTGAATCAGAGTTTCAACAATCAGTTGAAGCCTTCCTTCCACTATGCCTCGAATTTTTATTTTTAAATGATCTAAAATACTGGGTAGTAATTGGAGTCAACAAGCAAATAATCYAAAGGAAAACCTAACAAGTTCCTGTAGCACACTTGCACTAGCACTTACTACTCCAAGAAGGCTGCCAGGTCTCAGGATGGTGGCCAGAGATGCTCAAACAAATCTTCTTCCCCACTTCAAACCTCCCATTTGGCTGAAAGAAAGGGAATAAAGACAAACAGGAAGTAGGTGACTAAATGAAATGTAACAAAGCTACAACAGGCTGAACAAGCAAATGGAATGAAACAAAATGACAAGGATTTACTTTTATCATTTAAATAAAAACTTGCAGTGACAGTCACAACAATTCAGAATCAGATTTCCACTGAAACACATGACAGAACTACAAATGTGATTTTYGGATAAAATCACATTCAAGCCCAGGTTGTTTTTTGGTGTTGTTGTTTCCCCATCTCCCCATTTTTAAGTGTTTTAAGTGTTTTTGCACTCTCAGGCCAACATTGTCAATAGGAAACTGTTCTAAATGTTTAGCCTGTTGAAATAAAGGTTAAATAAAATAAATAAAATTTCTCATTTGACACAAAGGCTTCCTTCATCCCCTCAATAGAGCATTTTGACGTTTTTTGTACTCATGTGCATAGCGGACCCTAACTTTTCCAGGTCACAGGTCACTGAATATATACAAAGAGATTTAGCTGGAAATGCTACTGGAACTGATCAAATTTAACAAACTCAAAAACCATTTCTAGTTTAAAGATATTTATGAAAACTCTCATCTTTGATGGTAAAGGAAAGTTTAACACAAATCAGTTCAGTGCAAACACATCAGGTTTCACCAGACATGACCAAGTGTGCTGGAGCCATCATCTGTGTCTTACTGTGAGCAGGATGATGCTGGGGGGCTTCATGGGGTATTCTGGGGGCAGCACAATCCTGCCATGGTAAACCCCACCATCAAAGTCAGAATCTGGGGGTCCGCGTACGGAGAAGTGCCATTCAAACAGGTTATCCTGGAAACAGAAGCAAGTGTCACATTGAACACATGGTCAGGATACACACTTGGTAGGACTGCACAGAAGAAAACATCCTAAAACACATTTTTATCACAATCAAAAAGCTCACTGTACATAAATGTTGTTGATATAATATGATGTTTTTTTTCCTCATCTTCCCTTGTGTGGTTTTTAGTTTTTCTGATGTTAAAGGTAGCACAACTGTGTTTGCTGCATGACTGGTTTCACCTGTTTCCCCATGTTTGTCTTGTTATGTCTTCTTGAATGGGTGTTTCTTAGTTGGCCCCTCCCCCCTTCCCTGAATGTACAGTACCTTGGGAATTTATTTCTGTGAAAGGCGCTGTATAAATAAAGCTTTACTTACTTACTTACTTACGTACTTACTTACGTACTTACTTACGTACTTACTTACGTACTTACTTACGTACTTACTTACGTACT